CAAAGTGAAACGCTATGAGTTTATTACACCATATGGTACATACAACTGATGGTAGTCTTGTAGTCAGTTAACTTGGTGAAACTTGTAGCCAACAGCATAAATCTGGATGTAGTAATCCAACACGGAGAACTTAAAGTCAGCAACGTAAATCAGGTTGTAGTCAGTTAACTAATGCGAATGAAAATAAACACATAGAAAATGACACTTTCATGGTAAAGAAACCTTTTTTCAAAGAGATTCTGAAAACAGAATATTTATAATTTCAATATAATAATTTGTAGCTTGTTCTTGTTTGTAAATATATCTTTATTAGCAGTGTTACGTGTACATGTTCTTGTTTTACTTGATATGTACGTCTGTTACAGATGACACACGAGGCGAGGTTAAAATCAACAAACATATAAAAATATGTTGTGTAGAAACACTTACCCCTATATTTACCGCTTTGTTTCTATAGAAACAAGAACATAAGTTAGTATAACTAGGCTGAGATAAGGTAAATCTAACCTGTTATATAAAAATATATCCGGTTGCCAAAGGTTATGGTCTGGTAGGTGAAACACTTTAATAGATCCATAATTCTTTGGTTTCCAAGTTAAAAATTGATCTGTCCACTCCTGAAATATAGAAAAGTGTTTTATTTTACTAATGTATAATATAGTTACTTGTGAAATAACTTGTACCTCTAAATGGATAGAATGCCTAGAAAATTATTATGTGGACAACGATTAGGCAATTTTTTCTTATCAGGTACGTTTTTATGAACGGACAGCAAGCTAGTAAAACTACAGAAAAGTAGTATAACTCTCATCTTTTCACATGCTGACTATCAGTTCAAGATCAGCACCTACATAAGATTGATGATATTGCTAATAAAGGAATTGAAAACAAATGAGAAGTTTAATTGCAACTACTGAATGCTGCCATTTTTATCTCATTATTTTCAGTAACGATTAGGTTAATGATGCAAATCATTTTTCGCCACCTGTGTCAAACAGTGATTTTATTTGAGAGGGACTTGTTTGTGTTTTCTTAGAGCAAAGACACATCGGGCTATCTGCGGTGTCCACCGAGCGGAATCGACCCCCTGATTTAAGCGTTGTAAATCCGAAGACTTTACCGCTGTCCCACCAGGGGGACTAATTGAGGGGGAGGGAAGAAGACAAGTTTTATTTGTTTATTTTAATACTTTATATACTTAACTTATGTGGCATATTTTGGAAACGGGTAATTTAAATTCCACACATGTTTCCCGAATTCTTACCAAGTTTAAAACTTACTGGGAATCAAACCCCTGCTTTTAGCGTTGCAAGTCCGTAGACTTACCGTTGTCCCACCGAGGGACTAATCTAGTATATATATTGCAAATTGTGTTGTTTGTCCAAGCGTTTGTCTATCTCCCGTTTGAAAAGCTGTGCACGCAAGCAAAGCTCAACATTCACTTCTGAAATGACGGGAAAACAGCCATGAATAATGTTGAGGCCATTTTTTTTCCCGCAAGCAGGATATTCTACACTAAATTGTTAAGAATTAATAACACTATCATTCACCCTTCAAAATGTGACGTAACTTAAAGAATGAAAATGTAGATTTACCGTATGATATTGTTGAGCGGCTCTTCGCATGACTGAAATATTCAACAATTACTTTTAGCAGTGGACGGTATAAGTAGCTTAAAGCTGTGGCTCTGAGTGAAACCAAGAATGCAACCCAATTAACCTCTTTAAAGCCCATTGAATAATTTACATTGATACATTAACTTAAACTTCCCGGTCACTGGGGACGGGTACTTTTGCTTGTGCCTTAATAATATCAGTGTTATATTTTAATTTTACACACCTCTTGTTAGGTTATTATATTGAGGCAATTAAACTGGTTCGGTGATTAATAAATGAACTCAATTAAGAGAGCAACAGATCAAATACATCAAACATACATCAAAATAAAAGTATAAGTACAAGTAGCTTTAAAACATTCGCACTAAATCTCTAAGTGTTTCATGTATGTATTAACCTGATTTACGTTGCTGACTTTAAGTTCTCCGTGTTGGATTACTACATCCAGATTTATGCTGTTGGCTACAAGTTTCACCAAGTTAACTGACTACAACCTGATTTACGTTGCTGACTTTAAGTTCTCCGTGTTGGATTACTACATCCAGATTTATGCTGTTGGCTACAAGTTT